TTTAATTCTGTACCATGGGGTTCCCAAACCTGAAATCTCACCTTCAAATAGGATTTTTCCTCCCCTAAATTGTGAATTCCGGGCTCTGCTCACTCTGGACTTCCCCAGCAGGCCCTCCCTGCAGGAAACAATCTTGTCTTGCCTCAGGCTATGGAGAGTTTACTTCAAATTATTTCAGAATCATCTCAAAAGATTCATTTTTTCTATTAAAATGATGAATGAGCTAAATGAGGTATGTAATAAATACTGCAGGTTTGTAAACAGACTCCTCTCCTCAGAATTAAAGCCTGAACTCATTTAGTGATTCTTCCCCCTGGTGTTTTCCAGGGAAATCATCCTTAAAATACAGTTGGGAAGGAGCAGGAAGGGTCAGGGTATAATCTGGTTATGGAAAATAGGTGGGTTTTACACCTCCAACAGGATTTTTGCTAGGAAAAAACAGCCAATAATCAGATTACCACAGTGCCCTAAAGTGCAAAAGAACTGTGTTTTAATATAAGGATAATTCTACTAAATCAATTTTTTTTTTTTGGAACAAGGAATTGATTCATAGAAATCCTGGTGTGGAAAATAATTGGCAGAACCCAAAGATACCTGAGCAGCACCAGATTTGCCTCTCTAAAAGGTGCTGGAAGACGTGGGGAAATAAATATAATTGCATTAGTACAGACACGGGTTTCTAATGCTTGCAATAATCCAATTGGAATGTTCTGGGTACAGGACAATATTTCTGGGCCTCTTCAAAGGGAAATGAGATTTTAATGTCATTGGCAGCTCAATAAAACCATTTTCTGACATGCAGGGTCCTGATGACAACTCATTTCAGCCCAGAGAGTGAAGCAAATACGGTCACAGTAAAGTCCAGAGCTGGAAATACAACAGGTCCTCTGCACTTTGGGGAACTATTGATTTTTTTACTCCATATTCTCCCCCTGACTCTCATAATGACTCCAGTGATGGGACATCAATTAACTCTTTATGGCAAAGCCACCACATTTAAAGCCACTCCACCAGACCCAGCTCAACCAGTCACAAGTTTTAGATTTGGTACTAATTTTTTATTGGTACAAATTATTTATTATTGGAGATTTATTGTTTTTCCCCTCAGCAAAAATCTCCACTGCTAAATATGTTAAAGAGCAGGACTCCAGTCTGTGTGAATAAAATAACACAAGTAACTTTGGGAGTGGTCATAAGGTCCAGAACCAAAATTCTTTATGGCTGCACTGAAATAAAAGGCTTGACTTATTATAAAATCCTCTTTCAAGAGGGATGGGCAGAAAAAATATCATTCCATGCTAAGGCATGGGGGGGAAAAATCAGTATTTTTGAGCAGTTGCAGTGGTACAGGCAGTTCTTGAAGCACTTTGTCCTTTAGTGAAACCACTCAGAAATACTTTGCAAATGTCACATCTCCAAAGTCAGTAAATCTAAAGGTACAAACCCACCCTCTCTGTGGCAAGACCAGTTCAAGAAGTTCTTGTTTTCCCCCCCAACTTGCCCCCCACGCTCAGTCTGCAACTCCCCCAAGTGAGCTGGTTTTGTAGCCAAGTTCTAAAGCAGCTTGTGGGCATTTGGAAAAGGCTCCGGGATGGATTTCTCATGGATTTGCCTCAGTTCACATCTCACACAAAAGAAAAGGGGCTGAACTAAAGAGAAGAAGTAGTAAAGAAATTGTTGCTCAGCAAAGCAGCCCTTGAACCTCACCCCAGTGTCCATCCGGACCTGGAAAACCAGCCAACCTTGCAGACAGGAGGGAAAAGCCAAGGGAAGAGGGATAATGAGCTTGGAATTGGGTTGGGCTTGGAAGGGACTTCGGGCAGGGACACCTTCCATCAGCCCAGGTTGTTCCAAATCTCATCCAACCCGGCCTTGGACACTTCCAGGGATCCAGGAGCAGCCACAGCTTCTCTGGGAAACCTGTGCCAGGGCCTCCCCACTGTCCCAGCCAGGAATTCCTTTCCAGTATCCCACCTAACCCTGCCCCACCCTCACTCTTCTCAGGACAGCTCATTTCACGATCAAATATCCCACTGCACTGGAAGGAGCAGGATCCCACAGCCAGACAACAGAGAGAAGCCAGAGGAATCATAGAATCACAAAGTTATAGAATCATAGAATCAGTTGGGTTGGAAGGGACCCCCGAGATCATCAAGTCCAACCCTTGATCCAACCCTGCTGTGGTTCCCAGCCCATGGCACTGATGCCACATCCAGTCTGTCCTTAAACACCTCCAGGGATGGACAATTCACCACTTCCCTGGGCAGCCCATTCCAATGGCTGAGCACCCTCTCTGCAAAGAAATTCTTTCTAATATCCAACCTAAACCTCCCCTGGCAGAGCTTGAGACCGAGCCCTCTCGCCTTGCTGATCGCTGCCTGGGAGAAGAGACCAACCCCCCCGCCGGCTCCCCCTCCTGTCAGGGAGTTGCAGAGTGAGGAGGTCTCCCCTGAGCCTCCTCCTCTCCAGGCTGAACAGCCCCAGCTCCCTCAACCTCTCCTCATAGGACTTGTGCTTGAGTCCCTTCACCAGCCTCGTTGCTCTCCTCTGGACCTGCTCCAGGACCTCAATATCCTTTCTGAACTGAGGGGCCCAGAACTGGACACAGCACTCCAGGGGTGGCCTCACCAGCGCCCAGCCCAGGGGAAGAATCACTTCCTTGGACCTTTTGGCCACACTCTTCCTGAGCCAGGCCAGGATCCATTGGCCCTCTTGCCCCCCTGGGCACACTCTGGCTCATGTTCAGCTTCCTGTCAATCCCAACTCCCAGCTCCCTTCCTGCCTGGCTGCTCTCCAGCCACTCTGTCCCCAGCCTGGAGCTGCAGGGGCTTCTTGTGGCCAAAGGGCAGGACCCGGCCCTTGGCCTTGTTGAACCTCGTCCCGATGGAATCAGCCCAACTCTCCAACCTGTCCAGGCCCCTCTCCGGTCTCACCGGCATCACTTTTTAGGGACTCAGCCCCAATGCTGTGGGACAAGGAATGTTCAGTCATGTCCAAAATACCCGAAGACAACGTCATGGGAAGGCTTTTCCAAAGGAATCCAAGCATCACCTTGATTTCTGCTGAACTGAGCACCACCAGTTGATTAAATCCCTGCCCTGACTCCACAGGGGATTTGGAAGCTTTGGCTCGTGGTCTGCAAATTCTGCTCGAAATCATCAAATTCCTACCTTGGCTGGTACAAACATCAGAATTACTGGTTTGCAAACCTTCAGATCTCCCCAAAATATGCTTTTGAGGGAGCTGGCATCCCAGCAGCCCTGAGGGCACCTGCTGTGCCAGCTTACACAGCACCGAAGTAATTCAGGTACAAATAGACCATTTAATCCATTTTTTTCATTTGTATGAAGAGCTAATTCTAACTTTTGGGACGTTAACACTCTTAAATTACTTCTTTCTGCAATTACAAGCAGCCACTGGAGTTAAAATTGTTTAAGAATGGGAAATATGACTCCAACCTAACAATTTTATGTCTACTTATTAAAGCTGAATTAGCACCCTTTGTAAAGGAAAACTGAAATTCTTCCTTTCTAAACATAATATCCTTTGCACTATTTAAACAATTCAGCAGTAGTAAAGGAATTTATTTTGCTACTGACATTTCAGGAACACTCTTTTTTTTATTTTCCTCCAGAAAGAGTCTGACAAATCAAATGTGGGCCACATAAAACACAAACCTGCTGCAGCACTCGACTAGAACACAGAATTACTCCCTGTACCTGACAAAGGGCACAAAGAGACACATTCTCATGTTACAGATTATTAAATTCAGCTTGGATACACGAAACAAATACACAGGGAGCATAAGAAATGAAGCCAAAGGAATAAAAACTGACCAAGTACAGGAAAAAAAAGGAGGTGACTTGTAGCAGGATTTGCAACCAAATGAGAATTACTCAGTATTTTCATATTTAGACCCATTGTAAAGGAAAAAAAAACAGACAAAACCTTCTTGTTGTTTTGTTACCTTCTTCAAAGAATGAACAAGTACAGTGGAAATGCCAAATGTGCAGCATTAATAACCAAAAAAAGCTACAAACCTCTCAGTAATTATGCAAATAATTATAAATCTTCAGCTCCTCAGTAGCTCGAGGCCACAAACCCCTTCTCTCTCCCCCATAATATTAAGAATATAAAGGTTTAAGGCATCAAACTAAGGCTGTACCTTGGTTATAATTCCTCTCCAATTTCCTTTGTTCCCTTATTTTAAAACATTTGTTTACAGCACTGAAATTATTCTTCCTCAAAAATGTTACCACAGAGGTGAAAGAGCATCGAGAAAGGGCTGGAAAAGATATTACCAGTGAGGGGAAATTGGTTGGGATTTCAAGTGGGATTTGGAAAAATAACAACAGATTTGGTTCTTTCTTGGAAAACAAGAACAGATTTGTACTTACACACCATAGATGACTGATTACTAAATCACCAACCAATAAACCTGAAAACACTTGGATTTTATTCCAGATTCAGAGGGCCAAACTTTAATACAGTTGCTGACATCAGTAATCCTTTTTATTTTCATAGGAATGTTCACATAATATTTTCAATTTTTCCTTGGAAATACCAATTGGTTTCCTATTTATGCCCAGGCATCTATAGATTTTGAAGGCATATTCCCTCAGAGAATAATGATTATTGTTCCAAGAGCCAACAGAGACTCCACGCTGCAAGTAACTGCTGCGTGTGAGAAGTTATAAATCTGTCAGACATTTGAAATGGATAATGTCAGTTTACCCAGGAAAACAGCCAACCATATGTTACAACTTCCTCGTCAGGACGTTTTTTATCCATCAGCTCTAATGAAATATGAGCCTTTGATACACCATTTCCCTCTGATCTGGTTTGAAACAATCGGCGAGAGCTCTTAAAACGGAGATATTCGACTCGAATAAAGCGACATAATAAAGAAAAAAGAAGTAACGAGGCGATATTTCACCTTCTACCCCTTCCACCTCTTTCCTTGAGATATCTGAGGGTTCTGGAGGAGTTTGGGCACTTACAAAGCGCTGGGCCTTCTGCCGCTCCTCCTCGGTGGCCGCCCGCTCGCGGAGGATGGCTCGGGTCAGGTGCTCGTTTGAGGAGATCCTCTCTCGCTCCAGGAGCTTCCCAAACTCATCCCGAACGAACATCTGCTCTTGTTTCAATCTGCAGAAGGTGGAGGCAAATGAAAAGTGTATTTTCCAAGTCCAGATTAAAAGGATTTTAAATTTATTCCCGTAGCGGAGTAAATTATTATCGGTTTCTTAAAGCGCCTAAATAAAAATATCCACTAGAAATTCCAGAAGTTTATCTCAGATTTAACTGTCCAAATCCAAAAGTTCCAAGTCTTAATATCACTATTTATTAAATCTAATTCAAGAGCCCTATGAAAATACATTTTTAAGTAACAAGAACACACTGTAATGGTTTGAGAGCCCACACACCCAGAGCTCTGTTGGTTGATTGGGCTTTTCCTGGTTTTAAGGCACCATTTTTTTCCAGGAAAATCCTTCTCCCACCCAGTTCCCAGCTAAAAGCTTTTCTGCACTGGGATAGTGCTTTTTTACCTCTAAACACACCAGAAACCCAACTACTGCACCTCTTTCCCGAGCTGCAAAAAACATCCAACCACCACAATCAACCTTTCCCAGAGATCTTGAGAGGATGGGATGAAAACACTCATGGAACCTGCAGCTCCAGGCCCAGAAAATCCTCAATATTCACGTGACAAATTATAAACACATTTGAAATCTTCACCGTGGTGCCAGAGCCAAACATCCAACCACCACAATCCACCTTTCCCAGAGATCTGAGAGGATGGGATGAAAACACTTATGGAACCTGCAGCTCCAGGCCCAGAAAATCCTCAATATTCACGTGACAAATTATAAATACATTTGAAATCTTCACCGTGGTGCAGGAGCCAAGCAGACACAATACCTGATTTTCATGAAAATACACAGAAATAAATTGCTCAGTGAGTCAAATTTATCTGTTGCTTGCGTGTGGCGGTGACACCGAGCACAGAGGGAAGTCTGCAGTAATGGAGGTATGAAATTCCAGGTTTTAAATAGATTATTTTTTTAAAAAGAAAGACTGATGGAGAGGAAGCTTAAGTATTCTCAGTGCATTTATGTGTTGTCAGGGGAGCTGTGGAGAAGAAATCCTAATGAGTGGGGTCACTTTGTAAAAGGAACCAGCATTAGAGTACATTACGTTCCTCCCCGGGGAACGGATTTAAGTGAGGTGGGGAAGCAAAAAAAAGACAATTACAAGATGTATTAGTTCTGTGCTCAGCTCCAACCCCCCTTGAAAACGCTGCACAACCAACTGGGAATCTTTATAAAAAAGTTTATTAAGCTGCATCTTCAATTACACCAGCAAAAAAAAGTCAAGATTATGCAGCCGCGGACCCAATTCCATTAAGTGATTTCCCAAGGTCCCCCAAATTATTCCGGTGGGATTGATCCAACAAATCCTTCACCAATCAATGGCACAGTCAAAACATGCTGGTTGTCTTTTGGATTGGAGACATCATGTTTTGTCTGAAAAGGGAAAAAAGTGTCAAAATAGAAGCCTGAGCAGCTTTTCCTGGTGAGAGGCAGAGAAGGCACGGAGTGTTTCCTGAGGCTCCTTCCTTATCCTTTCTGGATTTGACTTCCTGTAAGTGGTTTTCCCCCTAAAAATGTCTTTTCCTTCTGCAGGCTGGATCTGGGGGTAATTAAAGGATATGAAATGTATTTTATATGTAAAATATATGAAAAATCCAGTCAGAGCTTTCCACGTTGCAAACTCTAAAATTAAAAAAAAAAAAAGAAACAACTCCCCAAAAAAATCTAAAAATGAAACAAAAAAACCAAAACAAACAAACAAACCCAAAAAACCCCCACAAAACCCAAAAAAAAACCATACAAAAAAATCCCACATACAAAAAACCAAAAAACCCCAAACAAAAAAAAAACACAAAAAACCCCGAAACAAAACAAAATAAAACAAAAAAAACCCAAAAAACCCCAAAAAACTCCCAAAGAAAAACAAAAAAAAAAAACAAAAAAACCCCATATACAAAAAAAACCCACATATAAAAAAACCCAAAACCCCCAAACAAACAAACAAAAAAACCCAAACACAAAAAACCTCAAAACAAAACAAAATAAAACAAAAAATAAAAATTAAAAAAAACCCAAACAAAAAATACAAAAAAAACACATAGAAAAAAACACAAAAAACCACAAACAAACAAAAAAACCCCCAAACACAAAAAACCCCAAAACAAAGCAAAATAAAACAAAACAAAAAACATTAAAAAGCAAACAAAAAAACACATACAAAAAAAAACACACACAAAAAAAACCCAAAAAAAACAACCAAACAAAAAAAAACCCAAACACAGAAAAACCCAAAACAAAACAAAATAAAACAAAAACCCAAACCCCCAAAAAACCCAACCAACCAAAAAAACCCACTTAGAATTAGATCTTTACATCTAATTCTTCTTTACACCCGATTAGATGTTTACATCTAATTCCTGGCAAATTATTCCCATATCCTCAAGTTTCCTCCTCCTCCTCCTCTTTGCCCCTGGGATTGTGAACCTTGGTGACACTTCAACTTCTCCTGCAAAAAGGAGAAAGTCGGTTTTCCTAACCCTTAAAAATAACAAAAATTGGTCATTTCCAAACCAATCCACCAAGAAAACTGTGCCAGGGCCTCCCCACCCTCACGGGGAAGAGTTTCTTCCTAATATCTAAGGAGGAAATCAGATTAGAAGGTTCAAATGTATTATTTTATATATGCATATATAATATATAACTATACATAATACATACTTGTATATTTTATATATGCATATAAAATATGTAACTATACATAATCCATAGTTATATTTATATATATTATTTTTCCTAGCAGGAAGTTATTTTTAAAATGTGCAGGTGCAATAATCTCTGTACGTGAGATTTTTTTAAAATCTGGATTTAAAATCTGGGAATTTTTTTTAAATTCAGATTCTTTAAATCTGCATCAAGAACACTCAGGTCACCTCAGTTAAAGAAAACTTTACAACACACATTTTACGGTTTGTTTGGGTTTTTTTCCCCTTTCCCTTCCTTTACGTGGCATAAAGAAAATTACGCTATTTCACTGTCAAATTTTATATAATTTAGGGCCAAAAAAGGGATTTTATGTCTTTGGAAAACACCCAAGACTGCCTTGCATCTTAAAGCAAAAATTTCAAGTCTTTTTTTATCAATTCATTCTTATTTGTGTGACCAGGATTGTACCTACACGACACAATAATAAGTAGTTAAATTCCTGAAGTATCCACTGAACTTTCATTTAGGGCAGCTTTTATTCACACAAAAAAAACCCCCTGAACACCCACCTCAAGTGATTTAAATTCAGCAGAGTTTTAAGATAAAAATAAGCAGGATTTTGAAGTAATTTTCATTTATTTGAGTTACATAATTGGTGGCTTGTTGGTGCTTAATGGAACAAACAGAGGCAGATCCTCTGATCACAAATATTCAACTGCAGCAACCTACAGCAGGTGCTTCCTGGACATTATAAATTCATTTTCCTGGCATCCAGCATGTGCTGCTGTTGAAGAAAAGGCAAACATCAGCTAAATCTATGGTAACAAATTGTAAAAAAAATAAATAAATAAAATAAAATAAAATAAAGTAAAATAAAAGTAAAATAAAATGAAATAAAAATAAAATAAAATAAAAGTAAAAGTAAAATAAAATAAAATAAAGTAAAATGAAATAAAATGAAATAAAATAAAATAAAAGTAAAAGTAAAATAAAATGAAATAAAAGTAAAAGTAAAATAAAATAAAAGTAAAATGAAATAAAATGAAATAAAATAAAGTAAAATAAAGTAAAATAAAATAAAATAAAATAAAATAAAATAAAGTAAATGGATGCACATCTGCAAATTGTAGGGAGATAAACACCACAACTTGTCAGCACCACTGCTCCAAGA